CGCGGCCCAGACCTCCATGATCGCATAGCACACCTCCGACACCAGTTATCAACAATTCCAAAAGGCCTAAAAGTGGTCCGAAACCACCCCAAAACTCACCCGAGGTCCGAGAAAACTCGTTCAATCATTCTAACAAGTTTATATACCATATGTAAACTTGTCTCAAGGCTCAGAACACATATTACAACATAGAAACCAAGAATTAAGGATCAAACTCAATTTCTTAAACTCTCTTGACTTTCAAACACTCATCCTTCGTCGAACGTGTCCGAATACACGTAAACATTTTGGAATGACGCTAAATTTTGCATACAAGTCACAAATCACAATACGAACCTACTCCAAGACTTGGAATCCCAAACGGAAATCAATAATACCAAAGTCTACTTCAACTCGAACTTAGGAAATTCGAAAACGTTTAAAATGCTAGCTTTCCACAATCAACGCCAAAATACTCCCCGACCATTCGATACTTAACCCGAACATACGCCCAAGTACAAAATCATCATACGAACCTATTGGAACCTTCGAATCTCGATTCCGAGGTCATTTAATCAAAAGTCAAATCTTGGTCAATTCTTTCAACTTAAAACTTCTGAATTGAGAATTTTCCCTCCAAAACAACTCTGAACTTCCCGAAATTCAAATCCGACTATATGTACAAGTCATAATACATGAATCGAAACTACTCAGGACCTCAAACCGTCGAACGACGTGCTAGATCTCAAAACAACCGGTCGGATCGTTACTGTTCACATATTTTGTTGAAATATTTGCTCTGCTTGTCTTGAAGGTTTGATTGGTCTTTTGCCATTATGGGCATTCAAAGAATAGAGGTCATAGAAGAAATGACTCTGATTTCACCTGCAATACTATAAAGATCCTCAAGAGTCAAGCCTAAAATTCCGAGCAAGCTTATGCCTAATTTACCTCTATTACTATCGTGGCTCATTATAAGGGAAGGTATGGTATTTTCAACTGTTATTCGTGTACATTGTTATTGTGCTCCCAAGGATATAAATAATGTATCATTTGGTAACCATACATCTATGATCGGATATTTTTTTTCAAAATGTATTAAAATTATGTCCAACGGTATTGTCTATATCTGATTTAGTTTGATTCTTTACATGCATGTATTCCTTTCTTTTGCTATTTCATTTCAAAAACGAAGTTACACGATGTAGTCTATATCTGATTTGGTAGTCATTTGCATGCATCTATTTCTTTTATTGTCATTCATCTCAAAATAAATTAATGAAAAATAATAATACCAACTTTTACGGTATTGGGCTCGTGCTTGCATGGGCTAGCACCACCTAGTATTAACTATAAAAGCAATGTGTGAGCATAAAGCTTTTTCGTTTTTCAACTGAAAAAGCTATGTCATGTTTTGAATCGATTCACTAATTTATCATGATCACACAAAAGCCATGGTCATTGTGTATGTCCACTGCTTTATTCAAACCAAAAAATTATGAGAAAAATATGCATCTAATAGTCTAAGGTATGAACTTCAGAAATTGGTATTTGAACTTCAGATATTTTGGTATGAACTTAGGTAAACTTCATACTAGTATCAACTTCAGAAATTTGAGTAAGAACTGCCAACATTTGACTACGAATTTTAGACATTTGGGTCTGAAGTCAAGCTTGACCAGTGGCATAGCCACCCTATGTCAAGGGTAGTCAAGCGCACATCATTCGCCGAAAAATTATACTCTTTATATAAGTTAAATACTACTTTATATGGTTATATATTATATTATGAACACCCTTAATACAGTTCAGTGAGGCAGTCAAATAGTTCAGGGTGTTCAAAGTGATGTGTTGTTCACGGGTTCAAAATCTGCCCATTTTATTTGCCAAAACTAAACGGAAACCACCATGTGTGGTCTATTTGATTTTTGTTCAATCTAAAAAATTTCCTAATAAAATAACTCTTAAAACTTAGAACTTGTTAAACAACTATTCTTAAAAGTAATTTTTTAACTATAAGTTATTTCTTACATAAATTTAATAATTTAAAAGTTAAACTCTACAAAAATTTTATCAACACAAGCTCTCCACAAACTACAAATCCTCTCACCTCTCCCTTTCCTTAGGTTTTATGCTTACTTCATTAGTAAAATTTCTGATGTTGTCTTTTGTTATTTTAATTTTGATTTATAAAATTATAGTTCTATTAAAATTTTTTTATTGTTTGGCTAAATGTTGCATAGTTTGATCCAAAAATTTGGTGCACTATTTATTGACAAAAAAATTATTGACTTGTTTAAATTTTGAACTCCCTTGACGGAGTTTCTGGCTACGCCACCAGACTTGGCAATACCCAACTTCAGACCCATATGTCTGAAGTTACCACTGCTATATGTCCAATATTTTTTTCATGGCTGAAATTAAATTTATCTCATATGACGAGTAACAGGCACCGTGACAATATTATCTTTGAAAAAAAAAATAAACCAACAGTTAAGAGTGCTAACTACTACCTTAATCCTAAAGAGTATACATAACTTAGCCCAATGGTGGAATCAACAGTATCAAAGTTAATGCATCGAAGATAAGCAATTCTGCAGCTGATTCAACTCAGGCGATACTCATGGCAGCAAAACTGAAGAAGACGAAGAAGGAAAAAGCAAAGTTGCTATATTTTATATGTTATGACCAAAAAAAATTCAACATGCCTAGTCTCTCTCACGTTATTCTCTCACTTTATTGCTGCTAAATTCATGGTATTACGTTAAGCGAATTAACATAAGGAAAAAAATAAAATTCCATCTCAGAGAATCTATCGACATGCCGAGATCACTATTTAGACAAACAGAAGTTATAAACGAATGTGATTGCGCAAAGATATGTAACAATTAGGCTTGGCCAACTTAAGGGCAAGAAAGTCTTTTAAGATCCACTTTATCCATAATATGGCCAGCTATGAACACAATTAATAAAACAGGGGATACATTAAAGGGATCACATTTAGAAGATTTAACATAAATAACCGGCGGGATTTATTGTTTATTTTTTCTAGTCGGTATACATATTTTATACACTTATTATACACAATCACTAGCTATTTTTAGTTTAAATAGTTGGATGGGCGACTATTTATGTTAATCGTTCTACGTTAAATAGCAGGTTGAAAGTGGCTTCCAGAGGAAATTTTTACGAAATAAGAGGGGGGATTTGCATCTATACCCAGTTTTTGGGTCACTATTTAACTTATACCCGCTTTGCAAAAAAATTATAACCGTACCCACTTTTCGGGTAACTTGGGCCTAAAGTAGCAAGAATTTATGGTTGGAGTTTGAACTTCAGAATTTTTTGCCTGAAGTGTGACCTTATCAAAGTAAAACTTCAGATATTTACGTCTGAAGTTTGGCCTGACTTGCAAAAGCAATCAAAAATTTCAGTTCGTAGTGCAAACTTCAGACAAATTAGTCTGAAGTTCTTCAGTTTGTAGTGCAAACTTCAGACAAATTAGTCTGAAGTTCTTCAGTTTGTAGTGCAAACTTCAGACTAATTAGTCTGAAATTCTTTAGTTTGTAGTGCAAACTTCAGACAAACTTAGCTTGTTATATTTGAACTTAAGATAATTTTTCCTGGCGTGATAGCTGCAAACTTCAGACAATAACCTGGTAATGTCTGAAGTTTGGCCCTGCAGCCCCAAACTTCAGTTGATGCTTCTTCGAGTTTTGACAATAAACTCTTGTTTTATTATTTAGGCACTTTGTGTTGGGAAGTATTATTGTTTGAGAGGCAGTGTCGAGTCTTTCTTTCTTCTTGATTTGTCGCTTTGTCCAATTTCCAGAAACGAGAACATGTGTAACTTACAAGATAACATGTTTGAAAGAGAAAATAAGAAGAAGAAGAGGAAAAAAGGAGCGCATAGGTCGCAGGATCTGAAGTTGTCAAAATTAGAGTATATGTTAAATAATTTTAAAAATATGGATATCGGTTAAATGAGGACGATCAAATAGGGGGAATTTGCATCTATACCCGCTTTTTGGTCACGTTTTAACTTGTGCCCGCTTTGCAAAAAAATTACAAGTGTACCCACTTTTTCGCGTAACTTCAGCATATGGGGCTGAAGTAGCAAAGACAATCACCCAAAACTTCAGCATTCTAGTAGACGGGCTTGAAGCAGCAAAGGCAATACGCTGAAGTTTTTTTTTGTCCTGGATAAAATGCTTAAGTTATTTAGTTCATTTGTAAAAACTTTAGCACTAAAATAGCTGAAGTTTTTTTGTCCTGGATTCATTAGTTTTGTCATAAAACTTTTTCAAAAACTTTAGCAGAAGATGCTGAAGTTATTTAGTTCATTTGTAAAAACTTCAGCACTAAATAAGCTGAAGTTTTTTTGTCTTGGATAAGCTTTATCAAAAACTTCAGCAGAAGATGCTGAAGTTATTTAGTTCATTTGTAAAAACTTCAGCACTTAAAGCTTTCTAACATACTAGATAAATAATCACCTTATTCTTTCATAGTGTATTACTACTAAAAAATAATCAGATTGCCAACAATATCTAAATCATAAATTTTGGAAACAATAAACGTGAAAAGAACAGAATTAAGTGGAAATATTCACAAATTATTGTCTACTAACTTACATAATTATTTATAATTTATTTTTAAATTATCTGATAAACATTTTTATGGCAATCATCCCATGAATTGAAATTTCATAGCAGCACCAACAACAGCAGAAAAAAGAAGAAGAAAAAGAAGAAGAAGAAGAAAACGAATGAGGAGAAGGAGGAAGAGAAATGGGGCTGAAGTTATATAAAAAATGAGTATAAGGACTTTTTAGAAAATAGGTATAGGTTAAATGGGAACGACCAAATAGAATGTCCCGTGCAATTTTCACATCAAACAGGGCGTCCCGTACAATTTTTACGAAGAGAAATTAATGGCCCAAGAGTGGCGAGTCCATCGATGAAGAAGCCCATCTAACAGTAATTTTGGTTACAAAGTAAGGGTAATATAGGAATCATTGACCGTCGATCTCAATCTTCTTCTGCCGTCCACTCGTCAGTCCTCACACACAATCTTTCTCTCCGTTCTTCTTCGCGGTACACTCGTAACAATAACCCTATAAAAGAAAAATCACTTCTTTTCATCAACAATTTCCAATCCAAAACACCTAATCTCTAATTTAGATCCTCACTGTTTCAACAGGAAATTGAATTGACGTCACCGCCCTTAGAAAAGTTTCCCGTAGCCCCTTTTTGGTTTCAAATTTTCCTTTTAAGAATTGTTTTGATTTTGTTTTTCTTTAAAAGTTTTTTCATTTGTTGTTTCGTTTCTGAATTTTGGATGTTTCTAATCTGATGATGCTCGGTTTTATGTGTTTACGGTGTAACTAGGGTTTTGATACTCATAAAAGTGATACAAGCCTCTGAGCCCTAATTTACAAGGTTAGTTTTTTTCTTTTTTAATTGTTTAGCAGTAGACTATGAATTCCCATTTCATTTTCTTTAATTGTGTTTCCGTGTAAGGTTTATTTATGTTTAATTGATGCATTTGCCTATAAGTATCACCACATTGTATTTATTGAAAAAAGTTATATCAGTGGCAGAAGTAATTTTCTCTCTTTTATATTGGATTATTATGCTTAGTTGATACATTTACCTGTGAGTATCACCACATTGTATTTATGAAAAAACAGTGTTACATATGTTGTATTATAGGCAGAAGTAATATTCACTCTCATAATATATGGAGGATTCATAGTAGCGGACCTCAGCTAATGCAGGATTGACTCATTTTTGTTTAAAAAGAACTTTCATGGAACTGATATTTTTAGAATCCTTAATAAATCTGTTTCTCTAAGGAGAGGGGGGATGCTTTATTTTTACTGTTCTCCTCACAGAGGCGTTTTGTTTTCATATTAGAGAGTGGTTGGTTTTTGACCTTCTCTTAATATATCCTCTTGCTTCCTTTATCTTAGGCATGCCACGTTTCGAATAAGCTTCATTGTTTTCTACATTTGTCTTATGTGGGAAATGAGCTGGGGTAGAAAAGTTATTGGCCTATGTATATCCTTTTAGAGCTAGGTTTGCATTATGTTCTGCTGCTGATTTCTCTCTTTTAGTAGACCTTAGGCCTTACGTTGCTGTAGTGTAAGATGGTCTCTGCTGTCTAATGAGCCTACTTAATCGTTACAGTATCTGTTAGTTTCAGATTCCAAAATGTTGATGTCTTGCTCTACTTTTTGAGTGCTCTTGCATATACATTTGGACGTGTTTGCCTTCTCATTGACTTCTTGATGGTTCGATCAGGTACCACTTTTGAATAAAGTTAATATCTGGAAACAGAATGTCGTCACCGTGTCCTGTTATTGATAATCGACCAATTGATCAGTTGAAGGTCACAGAGCTAAGAGAAGAGCTTAAGAGACGTAAGCTACCCATAAAGGGGTTGAAGCAAGAATTGGTAAGGCGATTAGCTGAAGCAATCCTCCAAGAGCAAGATGCTGCTCATACTAAGTCAGAGAATGGTGGTGATTCCACGCCTGGGCCAGACGAAGAAATGGCTGAATCTGTTGATGCAGATAATCCTAAGGATAATTTTGATGCTGATAATACGACAGATAAGGAAGCGGATGAGAAAATGAGCGAGGTCGATGCAGCTGAAAACAGAGTGCAATTGGATGAAGGGAAATTCTCAATTGAGGAGCCGGTTGGTGGTGCTATATCTACTATGGTTGAAAAGGATCTGGTAGCCCAAACTGCGGATACGGAAACCAGTGCTCCAACCAAAGAGGACCAGACAGCTGAAGTTAGTGTTGTGCAAACCAGTGAACCTGTCAGTGTGAGTGTTGAGTCTGCCACAGTTTTAAGTGGACAAGACTTGCAAAAATATGAAACCCAGAATGAGAGTGGGGATTTAAAAGAGCAGCTGGAGTATCCCATTTCAAATTCTTTACTAGTGGAGGAAAATGTCAGTTCATCCATTCTGGAAAGTCAGGTATCTGAGATCAGCCCTGTTTTAGGGTTCCAAGTAAACTCTGATTTTGTTTCCACTGATGTCTCATTTGATGAAAAAACAGAACTGAAGGATAATGTAATAGCTAATGACGTCAAAGTAGAATTAGATGTTAAACCTGAGATGGTGCAGCTATTCTCGAGCAGTGATGTCCCTGATGATGCAAAATCACATACTATGGATGTTGAAGAACCACATGACAAGAAAATGTCTACAGAAGAACCAGGCAACAAAAACGATAAATATCCTGAAGTTAGTGTTGTGCAAACCAGTGATCCTGTCGGTGTGGGTGTAGAGTCTGACACGGCTTTAAGTGGACAAGACTCGCAAAAATATGAAACCCGGAATGAGAGTGAGGATATAAAAGAGCAGCTGGAGAATCACATTTCAATTTCTTCTGTGGATGAGGCAAAGGTCAGTTCATCCAATCTGGAAACTCAGGTATCTGAGCTTAGCCCTGTGTTAGGGTTTCAAGTAAAATCTGATTCTGTTTCCGCTGATGTCTCAATTGATGAAAAAATAGAACTGATGGATAATGTAATCGCTGATGATGTCAAAATAGAATTAGATGTTAAACCTGATAATGTGCAGCTATCATCAAGCAGTGTCGACCCCGGTGATGGAAAATCACAACCTATGGATGTTGAAGAGCCATATGACGAGAAAGTATCTGTAGAAGAACCAGGCAACGAAAACGATAAATATGTTGATATAATGAAGACTGATGGCAATGGGGATTCTGCAGAGAAGTTGGAATTAGACCGAAGTCCTGGTGATGGAAAATCACAACCTATGGATGTTGAAGAGCCATATGACGAGAAAGTATCTGTAGAAGAACCAGGCAACGAAAACAATAAATATGTTGATATAATGAAGACTGATGGCAATGGGGATTCTGCAGAGAAGTTGCAATTAGACCGAAGTCCTGGTGATGATTCCGCTGAGGAGGATGTTTCAGAGGGTAAATTAGCTGATTTTAAGTTGGACTCGGTGAAAAAAATGGATGGAAAGAAAGAAATTGAAGTGAACACGAGTAGGGAGGTAGGATCTGTTGCTTCTCTTGATGATGCTAGGTCAGTTGCCCATATAGATACCAATGTTGAAGACGATGGTCCCATTGTGAAGTCTGTGAAAAGAAAACCTCATGGTAATTTTTCTGCAATAATTCGTTTCGCTATTCTTTACCACTTTGTTATGGCTTTACAGTTTTCTTTTTGTGGATTCTGATTGCTAAAGTGTCACAAGAATCTTATTTGCTCTAATTTTACTGGCTGTTTGCGGATACTTAAGAGTGGAAAGGATGAGTGCAGAGATTGGAGAAGCATTCCCTGTAGGCTTTATGCATATCCCAGTCGCTCCTTTTTCAAGGAATACTTCTGTATTGACATTTCATTCCTCCCATGTCCTCTTATAGTGCAATTATTATGACTTAACAATTTTCTCTTTTTGGATTCTGATTGCTAAAGTGTCACAAGAATCGTATTAGCTGTAATTTTGCTGGCTATTAGCAGACACTTTGAGTGTAAAGAATGAGTACAGAGATCGGAGAAACATTCCCTGTAGGCTTTATGCATATACCAGTTGCTCCTTTTTCAAGGAACACTTCTGTATTCACATTTCATTCCTCCCAATGTCTTCTGACAATGCAGTTCCGATTAAGTGCCATTTGCTATTTTATGCGAATCAAATAAATGACACTTATTGTTTACGTCATTGCTCTGGAAATTTCTTAGATCTGCCCCCAATCTTATCTTCTATGTATTGCTGTAGATCAAGGAACAGCAGCGGGGAGCAATGATACTGTAAAGAGGCAGCGTAAATGGAATTCAGAAGATCTTAAAATTCCTGAGAGCAAGAAAGGTGATGCTGTGGCCTCAACTACCCCGAAGGATTTTTTCCAGCCCTCTTTCAGACGTAGTGTCTCTAGATCTGATTCGGTGGCAAAGGAGGAACCACCAAAAGAACGTGTGGGTGAGTTGCCACTTCTTTAATGGTGGAATGAGTATATTCTGGATGTATATGGTATGAATAATGTTATTATGTTGATTGTAACAGTTCCTCCATCATCGAAAGTGCCTACTAATTCTCTCTTGATCGAGAATTTTCTGCGGCCTTTCACCTTGAAAGCGGTGCAAGAGCTACTTAGCAAGACGGGTACTGTGACAAATTTCTGGATGGACGCTATTAAGACCCACTGCTTTGTTTCTGTAAGCACTCTATTTTTTTGGTTTTCTCTCTTCCTCCTACAACATGTTTGTCTTGGTGAATTTTAACTTGCTGTCGAATTTGTGCAGTTTGCATCTGTAGAAGAAGCTATAGAAACTCGAAATGCTGTATATAACCTGCAATGGCCTCCACATGGAGGAAAGCTACTTGTTGCTGAGTTTGTTGATCCCCAGGGAGTGAAAGATAAGGTTGAAGCACCACCTCAATCTCCCTCAACTCATGCAACTCCTGTGACCACAATCCCGGCTGCGGCCCCACCTTCTGCTCAGCCCCAACCATCACCAAGGCAACAGATGCAGAACAAGCAACTTCAATCTGAGAAACTTCCACCACCTCCACTTCCTGAGAAACTCGACCCTCCAATTGTCACTCTGGATGATCTTTTTAGAAAGACAAAGGCAACACCTCGCATTTATTATTTGCCTTTGTCTGATGAACAAGTTGCAGAAAAATTGAAGGCACAAGGGAAGATTATCAAGCAGTAGAATTAGGCTATAATTTATCCTAAGCTCATCTTCGGTTTCTCATGGATCAGTCTTACACTATAAGATAATGGTAAGAGAGTATCATATTATTGCATCTTTGCAGGTCTGCAGGTCTTGCACGTAGGAAGCTCTGGTTTGGTTGCTGGAGAAGCTAGTTCGATGACAGTTGTCTTTTGCAAGTGTTACCTTGGCTCCGTGATAGCTTTTCGTGCAAGGACATTCTTATAAAGCTCATTGTGTTTCTTCACCGAATCAGATCCCTAGTTCTTGCGAGTTTAGAATATTTGCATCTGTTGTCTCGTCGAATGGAAAACCTTGCGGAGTTATCTCTGGAACTATAATTACTGTGTAGTTTAGAGCAGAGCCTTGGTTTCTGGGGTGTACTTTGTTAGAGTGCAGTCCTTTTGATATAATTTGCTCAGATGTTGATGGATTCTTCTTGCTATTCACTACCTAGGCATCTGATTGCCTCTATTTGTCTACTTGTTATCAAACATGACTCCTATTGGTAGTCAGTAAAACAATCAACTTGAGTTTGGTTTTAGTGGACTGAACTATTATTAGTCTTTTACTGTACTAATATCAGTTATGAATATGCTATGGGGCTTTTCAATCTAATTTTTTTTTTAATAAATGCTATGCAGCTATGGGCCTTTACTTTTTTTTTTTTTTTTTTTGTAAAAGTAAAGAAGAGAACGTTATAAAGCACCTGTATCATTCAAGTAATCTTATAAATTATCAGTACCAAGGGCGCTCAATTATATGAGATGATTTTTCATAAAACATATCAATAACTTTTCCCCCTCACGGCTTGGGGTAGGGGTGTCAATGAATCAGTTTCGCTGGTTATTTTAAGAAATTTATACCATACTATTTTAGTTACTTAATTGAGTATAACCTAAAGTAGACATGTTGAAATCGTCACAAATCTCTGTTTCTCTTTGTTATTGATACGATTCAATTAATTTTCAGTACTTTGCGTAGAAGTAACACTATTACTAGAGTATAAATTAATGTTACTATAAGTTCGTTGAGTACTAATTTTACTACAAGAACTTGAATATATGCAATGTTCAACCAAGATTTTGATTTACGAGTAAAGGCAAGAATACAGACTATGCGCTCCAAACTCATTCTTTAACAAGAACCAATATTCTTCTATCTTAGAGTAATTTCAACTACTTATAATCGAAAATTTGCCGTTCAAAAGACAAAATCTTAAAAAAAACATTTAACATCACCAGATTTTTTGGAAGTAGATGAACATAATATTTGACTCAAAAGATTGTGATATAAGTGAGAAGAAAGAAAAAGAAAATCAACATACTTCAGTGACTTGCTGCTTTACAACATATATTTACACATATAAATTTAATCGGATCTCTTTTGATATCTTCTCAATTTGTTTTAAAAAATATAAAATTCTATCAAAATTATTCAATATGGTTATAGATTTATTCGTACCCTTGGATTTTACTAAATAACCTTATATTTAGTTCGACAAGGTTTTGGTTTGATTGATATTTAGAAAACCATTAAAACCTTACTCACGGCTAAACAAAAGAAAAAAAGAGAAGAAAATCTTAAAAAAAAAAAAAAAAAAAACGGTAAGACAGTTAACCTAGCAGTAGTACGGTATAACAGGAAACCATATTTTCTATGTATGATTGATGAAACCCAGAAATGAAAAAATAAAAATAAAAAAAAATAAAATAGGCGCAGAAATAAGAATCTCCCTTGTGCGAGTAACTCTCTTCCCTCCCTCTTTTCTTCATTACGTTCCATTCTTTCACTCTGTTGCACTTACCCCAAACAAACCCTCCTTTGGGTTTTCTTTAGTCTTTCCTTTTTGCGGGGTTCAAAACCCTTGTTATCCCCCTTCCAACACCATTTTTTTTTTTTTGCTTAATCTTGTGATTTGCCAATCTTGATTTGTCTTTCGTTAGAAAAAAGTTGGAAATTTTATTAGTTTCGAGGGTTTTCTTCACTTTTTAAATGCAATTTACCAAGATTTGCTTCTCAGCATTTGCTCAATTGGATGGTTTTATCATAACTCATTTTGATTTCTTGGCTAATGATTGCAACTTTGTTTAAATTCTTGGTTTAAAGATTGCAACTTTGTTCAAATTCTTAGCTTAAAAATTGGAACTTTGTAGTGGTGAAGAGGGAAGATGAATAGTGTTTTTAATGAGCAGATACTTGCAGACAAGCTTTCGAAGCTCAACAGCACTCAGCAGTGCATTGAAAGTATGTTTCTTTATCTTTTGTATTTGTATTTCTGTTTTATATTTTTGAACTTGCCTATTTTTTAACTCATTAATGGAAATTGTTGGAACTCAATTTCGGGTGTGCCTTTTAGATCTTGGTAGTTCTTTTCTTGTGAATTGACGAAATTGAGTAAAAGATTGTACCTCCACTTCTCACGAATGAATCTGATAAGTTCTTTTAGAGGTTCATTCGGAAGGTTTAATGGCGATAGATGGGGTCTAACTTTACTATTTACTATTTTTTGATTTAGTAACCTTATGGTGTTGATTTCTGTATTTGCTTGTATCTGTACATTGAACTAGGTTGAAATGGTAGTCCTTTCCCAAATTGATTGTTGTATTTTCTTATCGAAGTCAACTTGGCCAGTTTTTGGAGTTAGATTGGATTTAAGTGACTTTTTTTTAAGAAATAAAAAGCATGCCTAAAACAATGAGGAAAGTCTACAATTTGCGGATATTTAGTTTCAAAATGATGAAAAGATATTTTAAAATGTTAGTCAAATATCACTTGGTTTAACTCTCAAGAAGTAAAATAAATAACCATTTTAGTATAGAGGACATAATTTTTAGGAAAAAAAGAAAAAAGAAGAAGGGGAAGATGGAAAAATCTTGCCGTCTGATCTGGAAAGAAGTAGTGCTAGCGCTGCTTAGATACATCCTTGTGTTTTCCGTTGTCCATTGAGATCAGTGAGTAGTTTTACCAAACTGACAGCGTGTGCTTCAATTGCTTCAATCTTGCTGAGTTTTTGCTTTCACTTGTGTTTTCTCTGAATATGGTCCACATTCCGATCATTAAACAAAGTATTGCTATGGAGAAACTTGTGTTTGTCGTTTGTTGATATAGTTTTAATGTGTTGCTTCTCGGGAATCTTCGTTTGATTACATAGCATATGAGTGATTTATTAATTTAGAATTGTCGAGGTGTGCGCAAGTTGACTCGGACACTACTATATTCAAAAAAAAAAAAAAAAAGAAAAGAAGAGTGGAGATTATCCTTATTGACTGTCTCTTTTTTGGTCATTATAATTCTTTCATAAGTCATAACCCTTAGACCTTCCTTTTGGAAGTTTAATTGGTCATCTAGGTGCATCCTCTGTATACATACTTCCAAGTCCTTATGTGTACTTTATTGTATTTTGGCATTTGCACGGTTAAGTTATCTCATTCCGTCTCTTCGGGAGGTTTTTGGTGTATTTCTTAACTCTTAGCGGTAACTAGTTGATATTTTGTACCAACTCTCACCTTACCTTTATAAAAAATACAAATAAAAAAATCAAAAAAGGAAAAAAAATTCATACCTTGCTCCCACTCCATCTGGGTGGGAATAAGATTGCATTTCTCCTAGAGGTCCATAAGTAGATTAAACTAGAAAGTTGAGTCTTCTGACCTACTTAGCTTACAGGAAATGCAGCTAGTTTGTAGTAATTCTGTCCATACTGATGGTTCCTATTATCATAAAACATATATGCCATTGTTATGAGGTGTCTTTTTAGGGTTGGCATATGGAGTACTTCAAGCTTCTCACTTGCAATTTGAACACTTCTGCTGTCAATATGTGCAATGCTAGACTAGAAAATTGAACAAAAAGGGATATTTGATGTCATTTACCTTGCATCAACAAAACATTAGGTGCATATTGGCTGTGAGTTTTTTTAACCATTAAATGGGGTGATACTTGGAAATATCCTATTGCTTCTCCATTGGTACTTATCCTTTCTCTTTCTTTTCTGTTTTGTCCAAACTCATATTCGTTTCCTTTTAAGTAACATCATTTATCTTGGTTTTCTATGCAGCATTGTCCCATTGGTGTATCTTCCACCGAGATAAAGCAGAGCTAGTTGTTACAACATGGGGTAAACAGTTCCACAGTTCCGAAATGGCTCAAAAAGTCCCTCTACTGTACCTGGCAAATGACATCCTACAAAACAGCAAGCGTAAAGGAAATGAGTTTGTTACCGAGTTTTGGAAGGTTCTTCCTTCAGCACTAAAGGAGATGGTCGAAAAAGGAGATGACCATGGAAAGAATGTAGTTTCCAGATTGGTATGCTTCCTTCCCTTTTGCTTCTGAACTTTTGGCCTCGATAACCCTAACTTGTGAACGAACATGGCACAAATTAAAAGGCAAATATGCAGCCTATTTTAGCTCTTTTTTTCAGTATCTGATCAACTTGTTGCTCGAAATTTATTGAGATATAGTAGTTTGATTGTCTTGCTTAAATGGTTTGTAGGTTAATATTTGGGAAGAAAGGAGAGTTTTTGGATCTCGAACGCAGAGCTTGAAGGATATAATGCTTGGAGAACAGCTGCCACCACCATTAGAGTTTGGAAGAAAGCGAAGTCGTTCTGTCAGAATAGTTAAAAGGGACTCGCGGTCCATAAAAACGGTGACATGCTCCTCATAAGGCACTTTTGTTTATGTCCACTGATTGCTTAACGTCTGTATCTTGCTTATTTTACTATTACTTCTTGTTCTTACCATTGCTTTGTAACCAGAAATTGACCGTTGGAGGAACAGCTGAAAAAATAGTGTCAGCATTTCACTTGGTAATCAGCGAACATTCTACTGAAGACGAAGAAATGAACAGATGCAAGTCTGCTGTCCACCATGTTAGAAAGATGGAAAAGGATGTTGACATGGTCCTTACAAAAGGTATAATCTGGTTCTCTATTGGACTGCAAAGTTAACATATGTCTGCACTGAATTGCTCCATTATGTTGATAATAACCTGTTGCCATTGCTACTTTGAATTTTGTAAACATCAATATGGAAAAAAATGATGATGAAGATATACTGAAGGCCATGATTTGGCGGAGTGAAATGCAATAATTGAAAGAAAAATAGTCATATCAATCTGAGTGTAAAAATATCATTTTTTTTTCCATAACTTTCCCAGAGAAAAGGATTAAGATTATGTCCCAATGGGGGATACCTAGTGTTTGAGGTATGGGAGTAATGTGGAGATTCCAAGTTCGAACTCCAACTACAACACTTGGTCTGCATCCATCTGCCCAGCCGTGTGGACATGATACCATAGAAACCTGTACTTGCTGGCTGTATAGGCTGCCTGGTGGATAAGTCGAGCTGCACACAAGTTGGCCTAAACACCTCCGAGATTAAAAAACAGGAATAAAGTTACAGGGGGCTGAGACCTTAACAGAGTGATAGATTAGACATCTCTTTACAGTCTTTTTCCTTTTCCCAAAAAGTTGTTACTTTTAAATTTTCTATGGGAGTTGAGTAATATTTTCTTATGCAGCAAAAGATCCAAAGAGGAAAACCTTGTCCAAAGAACTGGAGGAGGAAGAAAATATTCTGAAACAGTGTATTGAGAAACTTAAAGTTGTTGAGGCAAACAGATTGACTCTTGTTTCACAGTTAAAAGAAGCACTAAATGAACAGGTAAGTGATAAATGCATTAGGTTTAGTCTTAGTGTTCTTGACATTATGCTGTACTTATCGTCCAACTCATTGCTTCTTAATTTTGTCAGGAATCTGAACTAGAGAATGTTCGGACTCAGATACAGGTTTTTATCTCATTTTCAATTTTAAGCTTATCAATTTATTTTTCTTACACTGGTTAGTTGTTTGCTTTATCATTATCCTTTTTTGTTGTTTTGGGGGGGGGGGGGGGGAGTATAGGTGGGTTGGGATTGTTGGATGGTGGAAAAAGAGAAGTGGAGTGAAGAAAGACTTCAATATGTATTGCAGTGAGAGGGAAAGGGAGGTGTATTGCTTCTTGAGTGCCTTCCCAATAATTGGAAATAGGGCAAGTGTGTATTTAGCTTTCTAAATGATTAAGTGGCGTAATTTCTTAGTTAAAGCACTGAGATTATGAGTAACTTTATCTATTGGATTTTCAGGTGGCAGAAGCACAGGCGGGGGAAGCCACCAACATGCGGAAGCATCTTGATGATGAAGATTATGTGGCAGACTCAAAGCCTTTGGCTATAACATCTACATCAAATGACACTTCTCCAAAAGTAGGACAAACGAACAAGAAGACAGCTGCAGCAATCGCAGCTGAGGTAGCAGACAAACTTACAGCTTCTAGCTCCTCTCAGTATATCATGTCATCTGTCCTCTCTTCATTTGCTGCAGAGGCGGCAAAAACTGCCGGGCTGTCAAAAACTTCATCGCTTCCAGCCACCAACAATTCTATTTCACATCCAGAAAAGTCTCTGTCAGATTCAAATGTTTTAATGCCAGCACAGCCACTTAATCCTCCGCCTTATCAGTCAATGTTGGTTTCTCATCCCACAGTGCATAGTCAAATGCCAAATTCTCAGGGTCAATATCATTCACTCCCTAATCCAACACCCCAGCAGTATTTACAGCCATCGGCAGGAATGGTGAGCCCTTACGGTTATGGGAGTATGCCCGCCTTGCCATCTGTACCACCTCCTCCAGCACCTCCATCGTATATGACTACAATGGTGCCTTTAACACAGCAACAATTGTCAATGGTGCAGCAGCAGCAGTCTTTAGCGCAACAGCAGCAAGTACCATTACCTCAACAAGCTCTACCTCCTAATTTCCGTCCTTTGCAACCTCCTGGGATGGTGTACTATGCTCAACCGCATCATTCACAATGAGGAACTCTTCGTATGACTATCAAAAATCGTATAAGAAACAACAAATTTCAGGACATGAAGTGTTATATGCTGGAGAAGAGCGGCTGATAGTGCAGGTAATAGATTATCATTAGTGCTTAATTTTCCATCTTCAAGTCTGTTTAGAAATCTGTGATGGTTAGTGTCTTTATCCAGTGTTGTCATAGTTGTTCCTTGGCAATTTTTTCTCCCTCATTTTCTGTTTTTCCTTTTCAGCATACATGTAACACTAACATGACGGCTAAGAGGCTGCTGACAATTTTGTATTACTAGTTAAACATGATAAAAGGACTTGGCTGGCTTTTTTCTCTTCTCACATAAACTTGGTAAAAGAAATAACCAGCTATCTCCATTACACATCTGTTTTCGGTGCTTAACTCTAAGCCAAAAAATAAACATATTATTGAAAAGAAAAGTGATTGTCAGTTATCAAATGGTAAGACTAATCAATTGCGGAAAACAAAGATTTTAATCTTGGGAGATCAATACTGTCCAACGGAAAACAGATAGAAGAATTGCAGGATCCTTGCACTTGTCAAGAGGCCTGTTGGACCTCCCCCCCCCCCCCCCCC